GGGAGGGAGGAAGGGGGAGGGGGGAGCAAGGCTCTGGATGACTGAGAATGGCAAAGTGTTGGTAACTGCCCCCAACCCGCAGGCCCCAGGCCAGCCAAGGCGGTGCCAGCAGAGGCCCCCCAATTGGCCCACCGGTTGCCCCACAGATCGTCTCTGATCGCCGGCCAGGCCCAGGGACCCTACCCAGGCCCGAATTTCGTGCATCGGGCCTCTAGTTTTTCTATAAAGTGTGAAAATATTTCAAAATAGAAAGCTAAAATCCTCGCCATGTTTCCACTGGTGAACAGACCTGCCCTGAGCCGTCACCCCCAGCTCTCCCGTCCTGACCTGCCTTCCCCTTTTGCTACTCTGGGTCCCTCCCCTTCCCGGTCCCCAAGCTCCAGTCAAGAAAGGTTAATGCCAGGCACGGCAGGAGGCCCCATTCCCTGCCTTTTTTGGGGGGAGGGAGGGGGGGCGTGTGCAGGTTGTTAAATATTGTGAATGTCCCCCTCAGGCTAACCTTTCCCCTGCTGGTTGCACAAGCGATCGGCCATCCTTGGCTGCAGAATGAGTCAGACCCCAAAAAGGGAGCATCCCCACACACACACTTCCCCTCGTGCCCACACACGTCATCCCTCCTCTCATCAGCTGACAGAGCTCCCTGGGCTCTGACCTCTCAGGATGATGCGGACAAAAGACGCTGATTCAAACGCTGCGGTTTCCAGCCGGGGCCTTGCAAACGGCTCGCCCATCGGACATAACCGAGGTGCCCGGCCACAGGGGACCCGGCCCATCCGGGCAGCAGAATACTATGCAACCACCAAAAAGGAGGAGGAAGTGAGGCCCTGACGGGGAAAGAGCTGCAAGATCGAGGTGAAAGAGAACAAAGCACGGACCAAGGAGTGCGTAAAGCTACCAACGAAAGAGGAAAGAACTGGCCCCTCTCTCTCTCTCTCCCTGCCCCTCCCCGTCCCTCGCGCGTGTGTGTGTGTGTGTGCGCGTGTGTGTGTGTGTGCGCGTGTGTGTGAGTGTGTGTGTGAGTGTGTGTGAGTGTGTG